TTAATTAATTTTCTTCTATATATCGCTTGCCACGTGTGTTTTTATTAGCATGTGATGTGTGCTATGGCAGACTAACGTATCGGTGCTTCGACTGTGTCTACTATCTGCGTGGATAGCTTTGTTGCAATTTATACACTGTGTTCGCTGCAGTTCATTCGATAAAATTTGAAATATGTTTCTTGTGAAGGCTCTTCGTAAGCTTTGGACTCGATGTTCTGCCTTCGGTTCTCATCTTTGATTGCCTTGGTCTGCAGCTTCTCTCGATTGGTCAGCTGACTCATTATTTTATTTTTTAAATTTTGTTTTAACTTATTATATTTTATTTTATGTGTCGTATTCGATGTATCCTATCTTATTATAATAGTTTTTGTTCGTTTATTACACTTATTTAAATTTTGTATTTATCTTTATATATTGTGTATTTATGATTGCAACTTATTCAATGTATATACTTAATTTTTATTTTATTATATATTCTATTTTATTATAATATTTTCGACGTCAAATTAATACTGCACTCGCCTTTAGCCCTGCTAATGTTTCTGACGCGCCTGCTTCAGGAATTGGTATGTTTTTGGCGCTGGGTTCCAAGACACCGCTTATCGTGCTTATCGCCTAAAATCAGCCCTAACTACCGTTGCTGAAAATCTATAGTTCACGTGATGTAAACTATAGATTTTGAGTACTGACACTAAACATTGGAATGTAGTTTAATGAGAGTCATTAAAAAGTTTAACAATTTTATTGCGAAAAATATTATCTTGGCCAGGGTTTGAATTTGGAACTCCCGACTTTCCGGGACGAGCGTAATACCAATTGTGATGTTCAAATTATTTATTTATTTGACGTTAAAATTGCTCCAAAATCATTTTTTAGAAGTTGATTCCTTTTAGTGTATTTTGATGATATATACATATGACTTGCTGTTTTGCTAATGTTACGTATATTACCGTGATAATCCTTCCACCATGATACCCCGATAAAAAATGTTTCATATATAATTATACAGGGTGGGCCAAAAGTCTGGATACACTCAAATATCTCATAAACGATGCATTTTAGAAAAAAATGTTTCTTACAAAAGTTGTAAAGCTTAAAAAAACGCATTCAACGATAGTAATTATTTAACCTAAGATGGCATTGTCAAGGTCAGATCAAGGTCAACATGAATTTTTTAAATGAAACCTTCCCTTTTTTATAACATATTCTTGTAGTTTATTTCTAGAGCTTTTCAAAACACTAAACAAATTAAGTTCATTTCCATTAAGGGGATGCTGGAGTGACGGTTGAAGTTAATCAAGATCGATAGTACAGACTTTTTTAAATTCCAAATTCGACAATAGTGACATCTTTCATTCATTTCTTATACTTATTATATATCATTGTGTCTCACTCAAACGCATTCATCTGTCCTTATCTAACATATTGCAACGCCATCTCTTAGAAAGAGATCAACTAAAATACTGCTCGGTTTCATGGCTAAAAAGTCATACATCGTCGATTTCTCACGCGCTAGACACATAATTTCGTTCCTTGCGCTAATCTTTTTATTTAGACGTCAAAACTTAATCCTAAAGATACGACTGTAATCGTCTATTTATTCTACATGTGCTTCTGCCCTAATTTCGAGCATATAACGTGTATATAATTTTTTCACGAAGTAAATGCTTGGTGAGCTGATAGCACATGGATACAGGAATCTGTAATTTATTATTTTTCCCAGTTTTGGACACAAAATACACCAGGAGCAGGTACATTAGCACGGATATTTTAATCGTGGAGAAGGAATTTTTATTCTGTGCAACTAATTCGAAGAACCGCGCAAGGAACATAAACGCTTGCTTTATCGGTAAAAAAGAAGACTCCAGCATCCCCTTAAGTACTTTACGAGTTATAAGGCTTGAATTAAGTTAATAAAATTATTATTTTATAAACAAAATAATTTAATTTGAAAATTTAATCGCGTTTTTCGTAAAATAGTGTTTTCAAAAACGATGGACAGCGAAACTACTTTAAATTTCATCCAAATGCTTTGAAATTTTACTGTGTTATTGTTAATTGAGTTATCTGAAGAAATACCATTAGTTTTTGCAATAACTTATATATTTTTTTGTAATCCATATTTTTATGTCGAATTTTTACGTAAAAATTCCTCTTTTTTCATGAATCCATCATTTTCACATTTTTTAATATTTTTTAATTCTGCTCGGTATTTCTTTAGCAAATTTGATGCAGATTACAAATAATTTTTTTTTTGTTACAGCATGCTTTGAATCCTATTCTGCTGTCTACCGCGAATGCCTTCATCACAAGCAGGCTACCAAAAAATGTGCTGCAGCGACGCCATTTTGTTTTTTATAATTATCAAAAATATTGACATTTTGTACATCAAAGTACAAGCAACAAATATATATAAAAAGTTTTTTTGTATCATGTATAGTTTTTTAATTATTATCTCCCAAAGTAAGATATGATTTTGAGGCCTCCAAGGTGTACAGGCCATTCTACACTGGTTGTATCGTAG